GTATGTCAACATCAACACTCTTCCCCTCCTCTCCTCAACACCTCTCTCGACGCATGGCCGACGCGGTCACATGCCCGCGCATTACCTGTACACTCCTCTCCGCAAGAACAGCACGCCCTCGACCGCCTCGCGCACATGCCTCTCCGAGCGTGCCACCGCAGTGCTCTCTGACGCACCCGCGGACGTCATCGCGCTTGTCGCGACCGCGTCCAGCTGGGCCGCCGCGCTCGTCGGCGTGGGCGTGTCTGGGTCAGGTGCGGGGGACGAGGACGTGTGGTGCCGGCGCGGCTTGAAGATGAGCGCGATGATGAGGCCGAAGATGATCAGCAGCAGCAGGAAGATGCATTGTCGACGCCCGGTGTTCTTCTGGTACCTGGGGAAAGTAAGGGAAGGGGAAGGAAAGAAGGAGCGTCCGAGGTCAGCTTCCAGTCCAGAACGCTGACAAGCAACTCGAGGCTGCACGCCGAAGAGAAGAGAAGAGCGGTGAGAAGCCCCGGCATGAGAGCAGCAAGGCGACAGTCGCACCCAGCCAGGGCCCCGAACGCACGGAGAGAAGGATAGCGGGAGGACGGAAGGCGTAGCGGATACTCACTTTGTCGCGACGTCTAGCTCGCGCACCGCGTCTTCCATTTGCGCCGCGGTCTGCTCGATGTTGTACTCCACGCTGTCCAGCAGCGTCCCTTGGTCGATCACCAGCGCCGACAGGTCCTTGAACAGCTCTGCCAGGGACGCTATCGACCGCGCGATCTCCGTCAGCTCCCGGTCTCGTGTCTGCAGGTCCAGGTCTATCGTGGACATCTGGCGCACTACTACGCCCTCATGAGACTGCTCAGCCGAACACTGGTCAGCATGCCATTCTCACAGAAGCGCCGATGAGAATCCGGCGCGAGCCAACGTGACGCACTGCAGCCGCGGCCTCCACGTCCTCGTCGAGCGCGGACATCCCGGCGGACCCCTTTAGGGAAACCGCGCCCGACGCGGCGAGCAGGTCCTGGTTCTTGATTGCATGGCCTTGCAGCTCTAGTAGGGGATGAAGAGTGGCGCCGTCAGACTTCATGAAGAACCGATCGTCGCATGCCAGGTGAATGGCACTCACTCTCCATATACACCCGCTGTTTCTTGCGGAACGTCGCGCTCAGTTCCTGAACTCTCGCCGCGAGGCCCCGTTGGACGTTCTTCGCTGCGAGTTCATGATGGCGTGACTGCCCTGGTTGGGAAGGCGGGAACGAGTGTTGGGGTATCGATCCTATCCGTTGGATCAACGTATGACACTGGCGGAAGTCCTGTCCACGGCACGGAACGGGATCAGTCACCTCCGGGCGCAGCGAGAGAGCGTCGAGCACGTAAAGAGATAACGCATCTATTACCTTTGTGATGTCCGTCGTGGCCGCCTCGATTTCCCTCTCTTCTGCGGACCGGTCCGAGAATCCGGGTAGCACATGTTTCGCGTGCAGCTTGTCGAGCGCGGTAACTGACACAAGACGAGGTTAAGTGGACAGCGATGGATAGGATACGAAGCACGAGGAGGATGAGAGAACAATGCGAACTCGGACATACTTTTAGCCTCCACGCCAGCGAGAATCTCTTTGACTTGGTCAGCGATATCGACCCTGCCGATCCGACAATTGATTAGCACCTGATTTGCGTAAAGTCAACACGAGGTAGCAAGTCGAGCCGCCGATATCCCGCCGGTAGGCCGGCCGCGAGCCTTCACGGGCACATATACACCGGGAACATGGATACTCAGCGGCATTGGACGTAGACGGCAGGAGTTTCTCCAAGTGGAGAAGTGCCAAGAGCACGGTCTATCACGAGTTTAGGCCATATAGCGTTGGTGAGGTGCAAACGAACATTTACCACCAGCACATGATGCAACAGCAGCTCGCTAGTTGCATCAAGAAAGACTTAGAAGCCGCGGAACGTTGCCTGTGGACCACCTCGCCGCACGCCACGAACAGCTTCTTGACTTTGAGGCACCGTGTGTGAGTGGCTTCCGAAGGGGCTAACTAGGCGCAACGTGTCCTACCTCACCAATAAGACATCCGGTGAGTACAGCTAGGATGAGCCCCAGTATTGGCGGCGCAGTCCCACTCCACCATGCAGTTCTCATGTGCATGCATGGAGTCTCAGTTGACACTTGCGGAAGTCCGACAAAACGTCATGGATAGAGTGAAACTATGCCGCCAATGTGCAACGGGAGTTGCGGTTGGTGGAACCCCAAGGTCAGCGTGACCGATATCGAGGTGCCACCTCCGCAGCTTCGCGAAGAGAGAACCAGCGGTGCCCCCCAGCCCACGAAGGAGGCCTGCATATTTGACTAAGTAGAGCAAAGCCGACAAGTGAGCTTGCCTTCGGCTCCCATGCACAACTCAGTGTCGCCTATAGGTTGTATCGGCCCTGCTATTCCGACCGCCGGATGCAAGCGAAATCGCAGCCGACACAAATTGTGGAGCAGTATGGCCTCGTTGCGAAGGAGAATAGCGGCCAAGGGCGGAGGGTACGGTGTCGCCAGACCGGGGTTTGGACTCACCATTTAGGCGGAAGCTCTGCGTCTATGGATATATGCCCGGAGTCGGCACTGATGAGGCGTTCGTGCTCGTCATCCTCGTTCTGCGCGTCGTCATAGTTTGTGATGACTCGTGAGCGGCGCGTTCGCGACGAGCCAGCGCGGGAGTCCCTGTATGATATGAAAAGGAGCGTGCGGGAGCGGGTGGTCGGGTTCAGGGAGGAGGAGGAGGAGGAGGAGGCCATCTGGACGGCGGCGCGGAGGCACAGACGGAGGTCCGAACGAGACGGTCGTCATGCCGGTGTTTGTTTGGCCGCGCCGGCCGGCGCTCGCGTGGCTTTTGACAGGACATCTACGCGAAAATGCCGAGAGACGCCAGCCGAAGCACGGAGCGCCCGCATTGTGGCCGGATCGGGACACCGGGACGGAGGCCGGAGAAAGCGTTCGGGCTCGCAAGTGTGGCTAAAAGGAACACTGGGCGGGGACGACAACCCATGACCCGGGCGCGGCTGCGAATGGAATGATGCTCGTCGCCGTTTACGTGCGTGCGTGCGGGGCCTGGGAGGCTTCTCTGGCTTGTATTGTTCGCGAAGGACGGGGGCGCGTGCGCTGGACGTTCGGAGGAAGTGGGAGTGGCACCGGGCGACGGGCGTCGAGGACGATCGGCGTCGGAGGGAGGCTCGGAGCCCCTGTGACTGCCCTCGCCCGGCGTCGAAGGCGATGGATGGATGGGCACTGGGCAGGCGCGGGACTTATCTCAGCCATCGCTTGTCCATCGCCTGCTCCTCCTTGCCAACCGCCTCTCCTCCTGCCATTCATCTCCTCCTGCCGACCCTTATCGATTGTCCTCCGGATCACCCCCCTCCCAAACCTGTGACGCTCTATTCCGTTTCCTCCAACGCGTGCTCGAAACACTCGCATTGATCCCTCGTGCCCCGCCGTTCCTTATAAGCCCCAGTCTTCCTACCCTAAGCTCTCCAGCGCCCCTCTCTACTCCGCCCCCGTGGATCCGTCCCTGCTCCTAATCACGTAGCCACAGCCGTCTCCTCAGCCACAACTTCCCGCAACCAGCCACACCCTTCGAAACCCTCCGAGTCATCCGGATTCCGCACCCTCCTCCTCCCCGTCCCCTCCGCCTCCGCCCCGTCTCCGTGTACTCTCCGACTCACCCGCCCCGCACTATCTCCTCGGAGGTCCAGGATTCACAAGTCCCGCGTTCCCGTAAGCACATCAGGGCTCGGGTGCTTCTTCGATCGCTTACGCCCGTAGCTTTTAGACTTCCCATCACTGCTGTGCAAGCCAACATGTGCCGCCTCGAGACGTGAGCCTAGCCCTGGTTGTCTCATCCTGCCGTTCTCTGACGTCCTCCTTTCCTTCTCCAGCGAAGGAACCAAGTACGGCTGTGGCGTACGTCCCCCGCTCTTTGATAGACTTTCCCAGCGCACCGCGTCCTGACGTCACTTTGCCGCCCGTTATAGCACTACATCATCGTGCGTGCCTCTCCTTCTCGCCTTCTTTGGCCGTGTGTGCGTGTGTGTTGACGCGCTAGTGCCTCCTCTCGCAGACCAAGAAGCTCCGTAAACTGGACTGCGAGAGCCAGTGGTGCTTCAACTCGCGCCGCCACCGCAACCCGTGCCACGGCTGCCAGTGCGACCGCGTACGTGCCCTTTTTCTCCCCGACCCCCACTTCGATGCTGAACGTCGCGTTCTCATTGCAGTACTTTGGCCCTGACGCCAAAGAGACGGTCACCGCTGTCAGACCCGAGTTCTGTCCGGAATGCTATCCCTACTACAGCCAGCGGCGCCGGTAGCGCTGGTTCGCTGCACCGCCGCGATCTCTGCACCCATAATTTCGCGCACCTCGCGCGCCGCACCTCCACCCACTACACTACTACTCTCGTCTTAGTCGCGCCCTCGTCCCATTTGCTGCATCCCTTTGCTGTCGAACTTCGCCCCTGCTGTCGACATCGTCACGCCGCACGCGAAACCAAGTGATCGTCCATCACACCCACACACTACGAATGTGTTGTACTATTACATCTATTCCGCTCCTCGTTCCCCTCGCCTCGTATCTATCTCTTCTTTATCCGTTGCGGATCCCTCTCTCTCTGTCTCGTCCTAATGCCATATAATGTCCACGCCGCATGCACGTACCGCGCCGGAATTCCGCACGTCCTTCGCTGTGCGAAGCAAATGTTATACGAATCTTCTATAGCCAACTGAACGCAAATCGCCTCGACTTTCCGCTCGAACGTGATGAGCACCTCTCCTCATCGCGCCATTGATACAATCTCCCTTGCAATCAGAGTAGGGGTATAAAGTATGGAGTGTTGGGTCCAGTGTGGGTCTAGTAAGGAGCTCAGATACTAAGTATAGCCGCGTCTATCAGGATGAATGCCCTTAACTCGTACTTGCTCTCCAAGGCTTTCAGGCCGTTTATTCCGACGCCCCTGAAGCCTCCAGAACGTTAGGTAAATGTGATAAAGAGACAAAATGACCACCGCAGGGGTCGAACCTGCAATCTCCTGATTTCTCAAGTAACCGAGTTTACACCCAGTGCTTGATCGTAGTCAGACGCGATGCCATTTCGCCAGGCGGCCATGTGTGAGCAGTATGTTGTTTGCATATCCTTAGTATGAAAGGGTAAAATATATAGTATTTTAATGAGGTTATGAACGAGTACTCGGCTCAGTCGTATCCTGCCATGAATAGAGACCGGAGAGCAAGTGGATCGAACCTAAGAATGAGTCAATATGAGGGATCGGTGCTACGGATGCCTTCTACAGCGGAACGAATATATGCAACAAAGATAGTCAGCTAAACGCAACATAAGGATCACCATTTGACAGCCAGCCCGACTACCTCGCTCTCTACCGCCCGGTACTGCGTGCGGAACAGCTTCCGTCTCCGTTCCTCTGCCTGCCCATCCAGACTGTCCATCCATCCGGTTCTTCCTGCCTTCGTTGGTTGAGAACCGGTAACCTCCGCTAAAACCCTGCCCGCCAGTCTGTCCGCATAGTCGAACACGGACCCGGGAGACAACGCAGGACCGTCCGCCGGAGGTGTAGGCGGGGGCGTCGGGAGCGTATGCCAGTACGCCGCCTCGACCTTCCGCGTCCACTCCCGGTCGCCCCACTTCGGGCCGACTGGGGCGGCAGGCAGCGGCTCGTCCACGTCCATCTTCACCCCGCTCGCAGACCAGTCGCGTGCGAAGCCTTCCGAGTCGGTCGCAGCGGCAGCCTGCGAGGACTGGACGGGACGCAGCTGCCCGCCGCCGTTCACGCATCCCCCGGGGCACGCCATGACCTCGACGTAGTCGTACCCGCGCTCCTCCTGCGCCGCGCCGCCATCCGCGCCGCTCGCCCCGCCTCTTCTCACGGCCCTGCCGCGCGCCCGGAGTCCGGCCATGCGTCCCGCCGCGCCCCGACCGACCTGCACGCCCGCGTCCCGGCCGACCTTGCGGACGACGTTCTGCAGGTTGCGGAACCCGTAGCACTTCGCCCCTCGGAACACCACGGCGCCGGACGTCCTGTCCGTGAGCGTGTACTCCTCGTAGTCCGCTGTGCGCACCGTCTTCGTCTGCAGCTCGAGGGCGGAAGGATCGGGCGCGGATGCGGTGAGCGTGGCGATGAGCGAATGCAGGTACGAGCCTGAACTCGTGCCGGGGTGCATGAGGAGTTCGGGGAATATGTCGTCGGCAGCCAAGTCTACGGCAGGGAGGGCGGCGTCGTCCAAGACAGCATCGATGGCGTTTTCGCTTCCGTGCGCGATTCCGACACGCAGCGTGGGATGTGGTCGTGGTGGCAAATTCTCGTCAGGGACCGGCGTAGATAGGTCCCAGCCTTTCTCCTGCATGAGGAGCTGCAGCTCTCCGGTGGTGATCACGCAATCGACATCCCGGGTCGAGTACACGTCGTTGTAGAAATCCTGCCGTGACGCCTCGAGTTTCTTATCGTAGCACGGCATCACCGTGACATGGTAAATCTGATCGGGCCTGGGAACGCGGTGGTTGTTGAGGGATAGCGTGGAGGGTGGGGAGTGGTGTTTCGGCGATCCATCAATTCAGCGGAGGTACAATGAAAGGCACACGGGAGACGATCAGCGTTCGCGCACGTCGGACGCGGGAGCAGAGAGAGACACGCACTGTTTGCCCCATTTCGCGCCGAGCCATTCCTTCACGAGCGTCCCCATGACCTGCTGCGGGCTCTTTGTCTGCGAGATGAACGGAAGCATCTCGGAATGCGTCTTCTCCGCATAACAGACCCAGCCCGGGCAAGCGCTCGCGAGCATGGGGAGCTTTCCGTCTCCTTTCTTGCGTTCCGTGAACTCTTTGGCGTGTTCGAGGAGTGAGATGTGTCGTGCGAAGGTCGTGTCATAGACGTGTGCGAAACCGAGTGCGGACTTGCAGAACGCAGTCACTCGGCGCAAAACCTGTAGGAGGCTGATATTTTGCGAGGATGTGGAAGAGATCGACGCGGCAAGGGATGCGAGTGACTGAGGCGCGATTGATATGACAGGGACCTTGTGTGATGGGGAGGACGCGGGAGGGTTATTGTCCAGGAAGTTGAGGACTTCGGTATGGGATTGCATAGTAATCAGGACGGACTCCGCAGAGGTGATGCACCCGCTATGCAAACATTGAGTTCCAGTCATCCGATGCAGAATGAAGGGCCATACCTGCAAGCAAGGCAATCATTCAGGCTAATCTCCGCGGTTGTGAGCTTCTGCTTAGTCCCCTGGCCGGATTGCCCCGCGTTGGGACCATTTGCGGAGACCTCGTAGTACGATCCGGTGGAGTCGACCTGAATCTGGGTCTGCGCAAAGTGGTTAAGCAGAGGCGACAAGGCCAGGGTGCAGTGTACTCACAGCAGCAGCTCCCGCATCCTGAGGCTCTGGCTTGTTGGTCTGTTCTACGGGTTTGATGCACGCTTGCGAGGGCGTTATGAAGTCATTGAGATCACTGAGCGTCTACCCTCGCGCATCAGCGATCTCTGCATCTCTCCGCGAGTGACCTCAGACGACGAACCAGGGCACCAGAAAAAGCCATGTCGAGCTGCGAAAGAGAAGGCGAGGAGGAAGAGCAGCAGCCACAGGCATTTTGGAGGAGAGCGCGGCCTCGGAGTCACTCCAGGCCCGTCTGACAAATCGGAGATCCCGATCACAAAGCACCGCACCGCCACCCAATACTGCTCGTCCACTTCGGGCAGGCGCTGTCGTTAAGCTGCCCTGCCCAGGCCAATGATCGGTCTGGCGTTTGCAGTGAGGGCATTTACGATGAGTGATAACACGAACAGAGAAGTAATGTGACTATATGAGGAGTGGCAGACAATGTACAATAGGCTCAAGGCATCTAATGAACACAGCCAGAACGTGATACAGATGAAATAAGCAATGATCGAATGACATAGGGAGAGAGGAGGGCATAGGTAGGCATAGCGGCATAGGGCATAGGGGGCATAGGGCATATGGAAAAAGTGGTCTTCAGAAGCTATGATACAGTAGGCGCGTAGTCGAGGAGACCAGAGACAAAAAGATAAGCGATACAGTGGGGGCCCACAGGACTAACGAGAAAAGGACGCGAACTATGGGGAAAGTTATCAAAATACGGGATCAGCCGCGAGGGCGACGTTTCTCTGCAGGAAACCATTCGGGAGGTGGGCGAGCCGGGACTGGTCGCGGAGGGACGTAGGGGCGCTGGTGAGGCGCTGGCGACGACCGGAAGACGGAGACGTCTTCTTCCTTCTTCCCTCCAAACCCAAGGCTATTCTTCGCGCGCCGCCATAGCTTCCCCGCCATAGTGGGTTCAGCCGGGCGAGGCCCCTGCTCCACAGCGGGGCGAGGCTGGTGCGACCGGAGGCCTAGCGACGCGGCAGAACGCGAGGCATGGGGTTGTGCGTATAGGCCGTTCTTTTGGTTCTCCTTCAGCTGCTTGAGCTTCGGCGTCGTGCGGTAGAGGAACGGGACGCTGCGCGAGTGGCGGAGCTGCGAGTGCCTGTGTTCCGTGACGTCGCTCTGGCTGCGTTCCCTCCCCGAGCGCCGCGCCGCGAGTGCTGCTTCCGAGCCGGGTAGAGGAGCTCGCGGGGGTGAAAGTGTCGAATAGCGTGGAGGCTGATCCACGGTCAGCTCCACAGGCCGGGAGGTAAACCTGTCCGCGATGGGTGTTGTAGACGGCGAGGGAGAGACCTGCTTGACTGTCCGGGGAGGTGTCACCACCACTTGGGGAGACGCTGAACTCGAGCCGCTGCGGAAGTTGATGTTGAACCGGACTGCCCGACCATTCGAAGGCCCAGCGACGCCCTCTTGAACCTCCATCATATCCACCAGCGCGTACGAGTCTCCGAGTGCGCAGCTGGCGGTGTCGGCGCGAGCCTTCATGGCAGACCTAAGCGTCGGGTGAGGAGGCTGCGGCGCACTCGCGATGATCTCGTCTAGCTTCGCGAGGTTTTGGGGGTCGAGTACCGACGAGGCTCGCGCGGGGGAGAGCGGGGGATCCGGAGCGGGAAGGGTTAAGAAACCCGGATGGGAGCGGTACACCCAGCTGAGACTATCGTCTTCACTGCAGTCGGACTCCTCGTCGTCGTATATGACGCTCCCGAAGGCTCCCGTTAGCTTTATGGGAGTGGCGACCGAGGATGTCTCGCTGGCACTCGTGCGCGATGAACGCGTGGACGTCTGGTGGTGCCGCACCTCTGAGGTAGGGAACGGAACGCCCTCCGAGGAGGCTACCGAAGAATGCCGCGGAACTAAGGGGGCGGCACGCTCCTTGCCCTTGGAAGTCGGTGTCTGACTGGCCTTCGCGCTCGAAGACACATCCTTCTTGGTGTTAGGGAGAGGAGGGGGCGGGACCACGATGGAAGCGGCGTTCGATATGACGGTATCTGCCTTCGATACTCGCGCGTGATGTCGAGGCACCTCCTTCAAAGGCGCTCCAGAAGACGCACATGCGGCATCGGCCGTAGAGGGGCGAGTGCTCTGCGGGGGAGATGGCTTCCTGGACGGCGAGGACGCAGCGGAATGCCCCCCTGGGGTGGAAGAGCGGACAGAGTTGGTGCGAGGGGTGTTCGCCGTTGATGGCCGCTGCGGTACGTCCTTCGCACGAGCCTCCGGCTTTCGGGAAGTCGGCTTTGGGAGTGGAGTTGCTCTTCCTGGCGCGGGCTTGTTCTTCTCGCTGGGTGTGCCACGAGAGTCCCGGACTGCAGGTGCCGCCGTGCTGCTCGTCGCGGTTGTGGGAGAGGAGTTGGCGCGCTGGACTGACGGAGGGCGGGAGATCTCGCGGGTTTCCTTGGTAGACGGCTTGCGCGCAGGCGTGGTGACGATGGGCGAGCTTGTCTGTCTCACCATCTTCTCCCGGGGATCTGAGAGGTCGACGACGGCGGCAGTGGTGTGTGATGGAGAGCTGTCAAGGACCACCTTTATCGAGTCTGTCAGACATGCTTATAGTATGAAGTGAGGGAGACGACTTACCGCGTCGCCAGCATGTTCCCTGGCACTCTTCGCGGCATCGGAACCCTTCAATGATACGCTATGAGTTGACATGTCCTCGGGCGGCGTCTGGGCCCGATCCCTCCTCATGCGCGGACTCCGCTTGGTCGCCTCCGCT